AGAGAGACAAAGAGACAGAAACGAGAAATCGCCCCCCCCAGGGAGGATGGCTATGCCACAATCTTTTCTCCTCCATTCTCCTCTTGGGATTCTGGCTTGCACGCACATGCGCCTGGTGTGAGTTTAAGCCACCAGGTCTGGGACTTGAACTGCGGTCAACTACGTGGGAGTCCAACGACACAGCCATTACGCCAACTGCTGTTCTCTATTGATAGATTTAATTGTGGTCGAATTTACTATGAAAGATATTTGAGTTCAGTTTTAAAAACAAACATTTATTTTGAATCTATTTAAATTTACAGAAAGGTTATGAAGACAACTCAGGGTTTGCATATACCCCATGTTCAATTTCTGTCAGTTATTAACATCTCCAGTTAGTATAGTATATTTGCTATAGTTAATAAACTAATATTTATACATTAGTATTAGGAAAATCCATACTTTATTTATATTTCTTCAGATTTTGCTTTCTGATTTTTTAAAAATTTAATAAAGGTAAGCTACGTAAATAAAATAGAACTAGCAAGACATCTTCCTGGCTTCTTCAAGGAAAACAGCAAAAAAAACCACAATGATCTTTTTGTGTAAATCTCATTGACCTATGGTCTGTCACTGTTCTGCTTTCGAATTTTGTTTCTCAGTAAAGAATTCCTTTGTTTTTTTAATGATCTAAACAAGTTGCCCTGTTTAATGGCCCATACCTACACTGGCATTCTGCTGGAAAGGTCTCTTTCTCTTCTTGTCCAGGAAATGAATTTTGATTAATCCTTTAAAACCGAGGGTTAGTACCCTCTATTCTGTGACCCAAGTCCTGAAGCTGCTAAAAATCAGTCTGTAGTAATTTTATTGATCCGATCAGCCATTTTCGTCAAACTGACAAATTTCCATTGTATTTTGTTTAACTTATCACTTCGATATTTATTTACCTAAGAGTAACACAACTTTTAGTTCCTCTATACAGACATGGCAGAATTTGTGAAATGTACACATTTAACTAAAGGAAGATCGTATGAAATTTGGTGGAATAAAATCTTTCTCAAGGAGTGCATGTGTGTGTAAGATTTTTGTCTTTAAAAGAAGACATGTAAATGTTTACACACATGAAGTTGTCCTCAAAAAGTCTGTGAAAATTATATATTGTAAAAACACTGTGCAGGGTCAGCAGGTGGTATGGTGGTTGAGGGCGCTGGACTCCAATGTGGCCGACTGCAGTTTGAGTCCCAGACCTAGCAGCTTGCTTTCTCACTTTCTCTCTCTCTCTCTCTCTCTCTCTCTCAAACTCTGTGTCCCTCTCTGGTCAAATTAACAAAAATAAAGTCCCTCTCTGGTCAAATTAACAAAAATAAATAAATAAATAAATTAATTAATTAATTAAAGGTCAATAAAATACTTTAAAAAGTCCCACCAAAATATGCATGAATTTCAACTTTTTCTGCACAAACTAAACTTGTACTTTAATTTTCCTAAAACATTTTGAAGTCTCTTTGTGTGTGTGTGTGTGTGTGTGTGTGTGTGTGTGACTACACATGAGAAAATTTAACATTTTTCTTCAAAGACCAGTCAATAGAATAAATTGAATTTAACCATTGCAACCAAAAGGGTATTTTAGGTGCTTATTTTAAGCTTTAGAACTTAAAAGTACAATATTCATTGCACTTAAAAATAATTGGATGTTTTCTCAGTTTAGTAAAATAATGCTAATAACTAAATTTCTTTTTTTCTTTTTTTTCTTGGAGAGGTTTTTGCTATAGGGTGCATGCATTTGCCAGAAAAACAGAAAGAGACAGAGAGACAGAAAGTGAGAAATCACCCCCCCCCCCAGGGGGGATGGCCATGCCCCAATCCCCTCTCCTCCATTCTCCTCTCGAGATCTTGGGCATGCATGCACATGCGCCCAGCGTGAATTTAAGCCACCGTGTCTGTGACTTGAACCGCGGTCAACTACATGGGAGTCCAGTGATATAGCCATTATGCTAACTGTTGGTCCCTTAACTACATTTTTTTGTGAATTAAATATAATTTGTTTAGCACTTTGATCATGAGAGATACTAACAGTGTCCAAGTGGATCAATGAACATTTTCTTTTTATTTGTACCACTTCCTTTTGATTTAAATTGATGATAGTTTAAAATGCCTCAATATTTGCACCAGTAGAGAAAGAACGTGGCAGATTCAAATTTGTACATTCGGTTGATTATCTTTAAGGAAAAATGACCCCAGAACGCTAGGTGAAGGTTTTCTATAGCACTAATTACCTCGCTGAATCTTTCTTCAAGTTGAATGGGTAATGAGAGTATGATAGAATCATTATATACCAATTGACTAAAGAAATGAATCCAGTTTACATATTGCATTCGATTGAAATTTCCACACTCTCACTGATTGTTATCCAATAGAGACTAGACTGGAAACAGAAAAAGATGATTAAACTCGCTAGTAATTATGAGTTTTTGTAATAACGGCAATCATTGACATTTGTGTAGTGGCTAACCTTTATTGATTTCTATTCATCATCTCATTTGATTCTGATAGAAATTTATTTCTATTGGAGGGAAAAGCTTTATCTCCTTTAACAGTTGGGGAAGCTGAAAGTCAGAGGGATTAGGGAGCTTAACTAAGATTATACAACCATTTGTGTTGCAAAAGAAAAGTAGAACACAAATCTCAAAGGAACCTTGGACTAACTTTCCTAGAAACAAATTCAGTGGCATTAATTGGGTATTTAGTGTTTTCCAGGTGACAGTCTAGGTTTGAGGACCCACAATTGAAAATAGGTGTGGTTCCTTTTCATAGACAGTCTAACTGTAAGAGAATGGATTCTACTCCTTGCTCTCTTCTATCCTTGCCTTGACTGGTAAAGTGCCTGAAAGGCCATGATGTACTAAAATATTGGGTAGGAATTAAAAAAAGAGAGAGAGAAATAGAGAGGTCAGCAAGTGGCATGGTAGTTCAGGGACCTGACTCCCACATGGCCACCCAGACCCAGTGGCTTGAAAATCACACTGGGTGCATGTGTATGGGTCCCCAACGTCCCAGGAGGAGAATGGAGGAGAAGGGATTGGGGCCGGACCATCCCCCGGGGAGCGATTTCTCATTTTCCCTTTCACTGTCTCCATCTCTCACATGATCTATATGTCAAAAACCTTAAAAAAAATGAATAACAGAATTGAGGGCATAAATTATGGAGGAACGTTTACACACTTGTAATTATTATTTTTTAAGAATTATTTGATTCATTATTATTATTATTATTATTTAATTTGACTAATGAGAGACAGAGAAAGGGAGGG